TGTAATTTTTGGTTTTCAACAATGTTGAAGAATATTGTTACCACTAACCAAAACTACACTTTTTAACACTCTTGTAAGTTTCACTAATTATGTTCGCACCATCAGGAGTTGATGATAAACTGTATGTGTTTATCATCAACTCCTTATGATGCTAATACAGTTAGCAAAACGCAGTAGTGGCTCGTGCCTTAGCACATAGGTGGAGCCATGGATTAACATTTTCGGGTGCCTGCACCATGCATCGTCCATGAACAAAAAAAAATGCATTTTTTTCATCACATCCACAAATCCAATTATTTTTTAAGTAATAATTCCGGTTAAACTTTCTTATCCGGCCTTCGAAGTTTGATGAACTTGAGGTGGAAGCCTTCTGCGTTTTTGTTATTTCCAAATCGGGAAGAGGTCTCCCAAGATCCTTTATTTGGATTTCCTCCTCGAGCTAGTGCGTAGAAAAAGGTTTCAATAACAGATTGCTTATTTTATTCATTTTGCCTCGGACTCTCGGACGATTTTTAATTTATTTAATTCATTTAATTCAATTCATTTAATTCAATTCATTTAATTCATTTAATTCATTTAATTTGTTCAATTTATTTTAATTTAATTATACTTTAAAAACTCAACTATTCTAACTAAACAATACGCCGATCTCTCCAATGACGGGATTGAAACAATACTTTTCTAACTATTCATTCCGAGCCATTTCAAACGTGGCCCCGTTTGAACGTATAAGCAGCGCGTTCTACAGGCGAATTGCGTGACCTCGAGTAACCTTTTACAATGGATTAATATGTAAGCAGCCGGGCCACTGAGCGATGTGCTCGGCTAGACAACGGACGGTCAATTGCTTGAATTATTAAATTTGTTTTGTCTAGGAATAATACGACGCAAGTTTTTTCATCGGGATCAAATTAAATAATGATAAATAATTTATATAATGTATCGTTTAGCCATAATTTGATCCGACAATTGTAATAATTATTGTAATTAACATAAAAAGAAATATTTTTAGTCACCGAAATATTTACAAATTTTGCGCCAGTGCCATGGCCCTTTGGCCCCTTAGGACAAGCCGCCACTGCCAAAACGTACGAACAGTATTAAAAAGTGGAGTTTTGGTTAGTGGTGACGATATTCTTCAATAGAAACTTATTTCAAAGTTCTCGTATTCCTAAGTAAAGAAAATATTAGTTTCTTTCAGAAGACGATTATTTTTTTGCTTGTTTTATTTTTACTATTACTGAGTCCCAAAAGTCTCAGTATTAATGTCGTGATGGTAAAAACAAATTCTTGCCCCCACTTTTTATTACTTTTCTCGACATTTCTGAGCTCCCAAAGTCCGAAAATCCAAAATGTCGAAGTAAACCTGTTATTATGTTAAAAATATGTTAAATACCCAGAATAATCTTCGAAATCCCAATCCTAAATAATGAAATAATTTCATAAATTTTACTTGAACAATAAGCATTTATCTGAGAATGTCCTCAAACTAACCATTAATCTATTTCATAAAAAAAGTTTGAGGACACGTCGTCAAACTAACCAATTCCTAACAGAAAAGTTTGAGGACGGACCCCAAACTTAACAAATGTCCTTAAACTGACCATTATGTCTCAAAAAACGTCCTTATACGATTTGGGGACTAATAAATATTTGATACGATGATACGACGTTTCGTATCTTAACGGCCACCCTCAAATTATTACGAAGAGTATTAAAAAGTGGAGTTTTGGTTAGTGGTGACGATATTCTTCAATAGAAACTGATTTCAAAGTTCTCGTATTCCTAAGTAAAGAAAATATTAGTTTCTTTCAGAAGACGATTATTTTTTTGCTTGTTTTATTTTTACTATTACTGAGTCCCAAAAGTCTCAGTTTAATGTCGTGATGGCAAAAACAAATTCTTGCCCCCACTTTTTATTACTTTTCTCGACATTTCTGAGCTCCCAAAGTCCTAAAATGCAAAATGTCGAAGTAACCTGTTATTATATTCGTATTGACTAAATTAAAACGAATTTACGAAAGAACTACGACAGGAGTGTAATTAAAATTTGTTGTCACTGATGATATTAGTTTTTTAGTTTTAGGTAAAACGTCTTTAATTTGACAAGTGATATATCACTAAATTAAAAAAAAAATCGTTGACTCAGGTGAGTATAGCAGTAATATGGGATCCTTTACCCTCCTTATTAAGTTCTTAAGGGGAAGCTTATATAGAAGTTATCTAATATGGTGTCCTTACACATTCTCATTTTGTACGGCACTGGTTAAATCTAACTTTTGTTTAAATTTGGCGACGCTCTTGACGTACATAACGTATTTTTGTTTTAAAATAATATGAGTGGACATTTTTCGATATATTCGTGATTTTTACATCATCATAAAACATTTCCCTGGTGATGAAAACAATTTTTTATTTTGAAAAATAGTTATAACTCATTTTTTTAGTGCTTTAATAAAAAAACTCCTATTAATTTTTTATATGTTCAGGATTGTTAAGGAGTAAAAAACCTAGTCGTCCATACCTCTTTGCGTTTTCCACAATTTTTAAAAAACAGAAAATATTTAAAACTTCGACCCCTATTCCAACTTTTTTGTCTTAATAGGCACAAAGTTTTCTCAATTTGATTTTTTGTTTATTCTTTAATGATACAGACAAACCTGAAATTAGAATTTGAATTTTACAGTAAACACAAAAAAAAACAAAATATAAAACTTCAAATCCCTATTATAATTTTATATCCTAATAGGTAGAAATTCGCAATTCGATTTTTGGTTTATTTCTTTATGCTGAATACAAATAAGAAACGAGAATTTGAATTTAATGGTAAAAAAAATCACAAATTTTAAAACATTTTGGTCATAATGGGCTCAAACTTTTTGTAAACATTTTTGTATTTCTGTTTTAGGCTGAATCCAAAGAATTTTCCAGTAATAACGAAAAAAATCACATATTTTAAATTTAAATTCTACCTCAACTTTTTTTTGCTCATTGGATTTAGAAAAATATGTTAAATACCCAGAATAATCTTCGAAATGCCCAATCCTAAATAATTAAATAATTTTACTTGAACAATAAACATTTATCTGAGAATGTCCTCAAACTAACCATTAATCTATTTCATAAAAAAAGTTTGAGGACACGTCGTCAAACTAACCAATTCCTAACAAAAAAGTTTGAGGACGGACCCCAAACTTAACAAATGTCCTTAAACTGACCATTATGTCTCAAAAAACGTCCTCAAACTTTACGTTTTACATACATATATATATATATATATATATACATCTTTATATCCTTTCTGAGCCAATTGTAGTTTGGTACCAAACTGCTCCACTAGGAAAACAATAAGTTTTCATCTATTTGTCCACATATATATGTAAGTTCTAATAAAAATTTCCTAATTTTGAAAAATATACAACAAAAAAACAATTTTTAGCAAAAAAGTTTATACAAAATAAATAACACAATCTTGAACCAAACGTCTTGTACTATCTTGAACCATTTATATAATTTAGACAAAATAAATAACACATTCCTGAACCAAACGTCTTGTGCTATCTTGAACCATTTATATATTTTAGACAATGTAAATAACACATTCCTGAACCAAACGTCTTATGCTATCTTGAACTATTTATATAATTAAGACAAAATAAAAAAGACATTTCTGAATACAGACATTGTGCTATCTTGAACCATTTATATAATTTAGACCAAATAAGTAACACATTCCTGCACCAAACGTCTTGTACTATCTTGAACCATTTATATAATTTAGACAAAATAAATAACACATTCCTGAACCAAACGTCTTGTGCTATCTTGAACCATTTATATATTTTAGACAATGTAAATAACACATTCCTGAACCAAACGTCTTCTGCTATCTTGAACTATTTATATAATTAAGACAAAATAAAAAAGACATTTCTGAATACATTGTGCTATCTTGAACCATTTATATAATTAGACCAAATAAGTAACACATTCCTGCACCAAACGTCTTGTACTATCTTAAATCATTTATATAATTGAGACAAAATAAATAACACAGTTCTGAACCAAACGTCTTGTGCTATTTTGAACCATTTATATTAAAATTGTCTACAACCAAAAAGCAATTATGGTCCACAGGATATTTTAACGCGTTGACTGCCAACATTTCATATTCAGATAATACATCTTTATGTAAAACTCATTTTAACGTATTTTATAATTATAATTTCAATTTATAGTTTATTGTGGTTTTGACATAAATTAAACACAATGCAAGAAGTATTTTAATTTATTTTCGTAAAGATTTCAGAGGCATTTAAAATTATTTTATAATTTTCAAAATTAAACTTAACTCCAATAAAAATAACTAAAAATAAAATGATTCTAGGACGAACTTAACAAGGTATCTATGGTTAAAAAAAAAACAAAAAATAAAATATTCTAATAGGAATAAAAAGGTACTAAGTACTAAATATGAAAACAAGTTAAAACCAACTAAAGTTGAGCACCTCGGGACTTTTAAATTAAGACCAATATTATGTTTTTAGGCAATTTTTATGCCAAGTTTAAAAATTGTATGTTCTTTGTTTTTATAAAAATTAAGTTGCATGCTAGTTTCGAATAAAGCCAGTAGAGCACTGTTTGAATTTTTAGATACAATTAATGTCATTGTGTTTAGACTATTTTTGTACAAAATTTAATACATTTTAATTCTTGTATTTTAAAAATATCAAGGTTTTAGAAAAAGCATTTAAAAACCCAAGGTGATTTTTTAGATTCTCTCGAGAGTAATTTTTTAAAATACAAGGAGAAAAATTGTGTAAATATGATAAACTACATAAAGCCTAAAAATATGGCATATGTTTCAGCTCAAAATTTATAATCTAAATTTTTTTCTATACGAGCAAACATTTTTAAAAGATTTAAAAATAGTCGTAAAATAGACTATGAGAGTTTTCGAGGTGATCTCTTGCCTTCCTACGCATAATCAAGATTCTACACTACTTGACTTTGAATTTGCCGCTATAAATATTGTAAACGACTGCCTTAATGGATGTCAATTTTCTTTCTTTGAAATCCGGATATAGATGGATAAATTGTTTTACATCTGATTGTTTCGGTGGCTCTTTTCTTTTTATATTATCAGCAAAATATTTAGAAATTAATTGTTTCTGTTTATCAGTCCAAGATTGTCTTTCTATTATTTTCTTATTGCTACATTTTGTATTGTTGTCCTCTTTAGCAGATTGAGAAGCATCGTCTGATATATCTGTTAGTTCGTTTACAGATTGTGGAATATCTTGAATAAGTTGCTCAAAGAGGTTACTATTATCTACTACAGGAGTCAGTTCAACATCAATGTCATCCAATTGTTTTCCTTAAATTTTTCAGCATTGCCTTCCATCATCAGTAATAACAACTTGGAGACTTTTGCTGTTTGGTAGATATTATCTGAGATTCTGTATACGCTACAATGGGTTTTAAGCGTATGCCCCATAAACTTGGATAACTGCTCCATGTCGTTGTTAGAAAACTGCAGAAGCTGGGTAATGGTGGCTAAATGCGAAGGAGAGTAGCCGTTATGCTTTTTTCGCGGAGAACACCACATTTTCCTACATAATTACGTAAAATTGTTGTACCATCTATGAAACGTTTTCCTTTAGAATGAAAAATGTTATCGTTGCCGTTTACAAACATCTCTTTTTAACTTAACAGCAATTCAAAATGTTGCCGCATTGTAGGAGATAACAAAACTGGTACTCCACGACCACGTTTTCCTCTTATAATAAAACGACTAAAAGTATTTAATAAAATTTTCTCTGTTTCTCTGTCTTGTTTTGATGTGTCCAAATTTATTGTTTTAAAGGTTTGCCATTTCACTTGTGCTACTTCACCAGGTCTACGCCTTTTCAGAAGTATAATTTGAGTGTACAAAATATTTTTTAGAGCATAATATGCATTAGAGTTGTCCATTTCTTTTAATATATTGAATTGTTGTTGGGCAGACTTCTGAAGATAGTCATTTAATTTCTTCAAATCACTCGTCAATGAAAGACGCTCTTCTTTGTTCCATTTATTTTCATTCAAATTTTTAGAAGCCTCGGCTGAAACTTCATCTGCCTATTGAGATATAATTAGATTTTTTAAAATATTTACATATTCTCTTTTTTTGTTGGTATTCGGCTTTTGTAGCAATTCTACAATAGCCAAATCACAACATTTTTTATTCATTGCCAATGTTGGTGAATTATATTTCTCAGTTTCGTGATTACACTGCGCCATTTCATTTACCCCATCAATGATTAATTTGAGATATTGCAATAAATCAATTAGTAATTTTATACTATTGTCTCGATTATTTACAAATTTTAACAATTTTGCTAGACGTCGAACAATCTATAATTATTAGTGATGTTATGAATAGAATACTCAATTAATTTCTTATTATTTATTATTTTTCATTATTTGTTGTATTGCACCGCTTTACCCTATTAGGAGGACAGCGGTATGAATAGTTTATAAAAAACTAAACTTTTTTGATATATTTCGACCGGTCGTTGAGTTGGCCAGAAGACAAATTGATCGTGATAAAATATAGGCGATACAGGTGAATACGGCCGGCGTTTGGTGCTTTACAATAATTTTACTGTTTTCCGTTTTTGTTGTGATTTCCTCGCTATTTTCGAAGTTCCGCTTTTTTCCACGAGATCCAGGTACCTGGGGCAGATACTTCAGCAGGAAGAACTAAAAGGTAAGAGGTGCAAGACTCTAATTTTTACACATGCAACCATTATAACTCTTCCAAGTAATTACCTTTTTTTTTATAATTGCTTTATGAGCCATCGATTCGTAACAAGTGAAATGTCGAAAGCAACTAGGTGATTTTAAAAAAGTGTATCCTCGAAAACAGGATACGACAAATGTCAGGTGAATTCAACACGAGTGGTCTAAAGTGCTCGAATTTAAATTCGTATGCGACTTTATGGACCGTAAATATGGTTGAGGCAGATTTTGATAAAATTAACATTTGGTGGCTGTTGAAAATCAAAACATTAATAAAGAGTGACAGCATAGAAGGAAGAAGTTTATTTATAAAAATCTATTTGGAATTAACGATGTGTTATATACTATGTTGGCTCTTGCCACTCTAGTGTACTGTCAGTTGTCAGCATGACAGCAAGATCAGGAGTGCGTTTAGAAACCTCGCACGGCGCGTCTCACCACATACATTAGAATAGGGTCCAGACGTGCCGTGGGTGGTTTCTAAACGCACTCCAGGGTCGTGGAACACGAGACGATATGTCAACTGTCACTCGAACCTACCCGCCTTTTTATCGCTAGTGAGTTACAACTTACCACGATGTCTAATGTACTGTATTACAACATTAAAGAGTTACTCAGAACTTGGGGTGCTTCTTTTCCCGTTACCAACATCTTATCAAACATGGTGGCAGCGCAGTGAGAACCCTAGTCCCAATAAAATAAAAATTAAGGTGAGCCCTAACCAAATAAATATTTTCACATCGAAACTCATATCGAGCGAAAACCGGATTATAAATCCAGTCGTTTTACAATAAACGCTCTCAATGCCTTCCAACGAAACAGGCGCGGTCGGCCGAGCAGGCCCCAGTAACAATCATGTACCAATCCAGGTGTCCCCACCAGAGAAATTTAACTTTACGGAACCGCAAGCATGGCCACAATGGCGAAAGCGGTTTGAAAGATTTATGGCAGGACAAGACAATAAAAGTGACGAAGATAAGATTAATATCTTAATTTATGTAATGGGGGAACAGGCTGAAGAAGTCATGCTTCAGTTCGCCACTGCACCAACAACATTCTTAGGCGCCTTGAACAGTTTCGAAGCACATTTTATTCCCAGACGAAACATCATATTTGAACGATATAAATTTAATTCTCGCATTCAACAACCATCAGACTCAGTTGAAAGTTTCATTACAAGTCTACACAGTTTAGCAGAGCATTGCAACTACGGTAACCTGAAAGAAGAACTTATCCGCGACAGAATCGTCGTAGGAATGACAGATAAGAAAACCAGTGAAAGGTTACAGCTTCAAGCTAATTTAACCCTAGCAGACTGCATCCTTGCTACGAAACAAGCGGAAATGCAGGCAAGTCAAAGCAGAGAGTTACATGGTATCAACTCAACCCCAACACCCGTCTACAACGTAGCTACAGTTGAAAGAAAAGGTTTTTATAACAAAAACCGAGGATGTTCCCAGTGTAACGAAAAGGGGGCCAATACCGCATCTCCATCTCTAAATAAGAAACCAGAGAGAAAATGTCAATTTTGTGGACTAGCCGATCATCCCAGGGATAAATGTCCAGCTAACAAATCCATGTGTAGAACGTGCAGAAAACAAGGACATTGGGCAGCTGTCTGTCGTTCAGCCAAAATAAGCCAGCTCCAAGTAAGAGAGGATACTAGTGATACAGAAGACCTATATTTAGGAGCTATCCAGGTAAACAACTTAAATACAGAATGGAAAGCGTCTATTGTTGTTAGTGCTTTAAACAAACAATTTCTATTTTTGGTAGACTCAGGAGCAGATGTCACTTGCATTCCTGCTCACTTAATTGACTTTAACATTCTAAATAACCTAAAGCAATGCAATAAAAATATAATAGGCCCTTCAGGTGAATCACTGAAAGTCAAAGGTACTTTCAAATCAGAATTAAAATGTAATAATAGTATTTGCTTTGTAGACATTTTTATCATACATGGTCTCTGTAAACCTATTTTAGGTCGGTCATCAATTTTGGCCCTAGGACTCTTAAAGCTCGGAGATGATATTTCTATAAATAACTTGACGTTACTGGATAACTATTTCATCCTGAACAAATATCCTAAAATTTTTGAAAATGTGGGTACATTTAAAAATGAACTTGAAATTAAATTAAGAGACGATGTACAACCTTATGTACAGTCTGTCCCCAGAACTGTACCTATCCCATTGTTAAAACCACTTAAAGAGGAATTAGATAGATTGCTTCAGTTAGGTTTCATAGAACCCGTGAACTACCCCACTGCCTGGGTCAGTCCCATTGTGGTAGTTACTAGAGGGGGTAAAGTCAGGCTTTGTGTAGACTACACTAAACTTAATAAAGCTGTGCTTCGTTCACACTTTCCTATTAATAAAGTAGAGACAACACTTGCTAAAGTTAGTAACTCTAAATACTTCAGCAAAATAGATGCAACATCAGGATTCTATCAAATTCGTTTAAAGAAACACTGCCAACATCTCACGTGTTTCATAACCCCCTATGGCAGGTTCATTTTTAAAAGATTACCCTTCGGAATAAATTGTGCTCCTGAATACTTTCAGAGCGAATTATATCAAATCTTGGGGGATATTTAAGGGGTGGAATTTCACATTGATGATGTTCTTATCCATGCAAACTCAATAGAAAAACATAATAAAATCCTCAGTGAAGTCTTAGACAGAATCCAAAAACAAGGTATTACGCTAAACAGAGAAAAATGTATTTTTGGGTCTACTTCTTTACCATACTTGGGCCACATTATTTCAGGTGAGGGTATATCAATTGACCCTGAAAGAATCTCAGCTGTGGAAAGGTTTCCTGAACCCTCAAATAAAACCGAGCTTCTACGCTTTTTAGGGATGGTAAATTTTTCATGTCGTTTCCTAGCCAATCGATCGGAAATCTTAGAACCTCTTACAGCCCTATTAAAAAAGAACATTTTATTTTCGTGGGGTATCTCCCAATCAGAGGCTTTTAAAAAAATAAAAAGCCTTTTAAAAACTAGCCCTTGTCTGGCATATTTTGACCCCACTAAGAAGATAGCCATCTCTGCATATGCTTCATCCTTCGGTCTAGGTTCTTGCCTTTTTCAGTATGATGCCATGGGCAATAAAGAAGTAGTATGTTATGCCTCTAGGCTACTCTCCTTAACTGAACAGCACTATGCTCAGATAGAACGTGAAGCTTTAGCACTAACATGGGCTTGTGATAAATTCAGTGAATATATTACAGGAATTGAAGTATTTTTAGAAACCGATCACAAGCCTTTGATTCAGGTCCTCCAAACTAAACCTATCGATAACTTAACTCCCAGACTACAGAGATTTAGGCTTCGTCTTATGAGATACGAATACCAAATTTATTATTCCCCAGGTAAAGACTTACTAGTTGCCGATGCTCTGTCCAGGCACTTTTCAAATTTGGAGGCCATGCCTCAAGAACAGGAGCTATCACAGGAAGCTGAAGCCCACGTTAATTTAATTACGAATAATATCGCGGTCAAACCAGATTTCCTCCAAACTATTAAATCAGAACAAAACTCGGACCCTGTATGTCAATTTCTAAAAAAATATTATAGGTCAAACTGGCCAGATGAAAACAAATTACCTGGAGTAGTCCGACCATATTATCAGTATCGTTTTGAGATCTCTTTCTGTGAAGGACTTCTCTTAAAGAATTCCAGAATCATTATTCCTAAGACTTTACAAGAGAAATGTCTAAAATTTATTCATCAAGGCCACCTCGGCATAGTTAAATGTAGAGCTCGAGCTAAAAGTTCAATATGGTGGCTTGGACTGTCCACTCAAATTGAAAATTTTGTTCGCAACTGTTCCCAGTGTGTGGAACATAGGGTAAATAATAAAGAACCTTTTACCATAGATAAGCTGCCAGACCGGCCTTGGCAGAAAATTGCATTAGATCTATTTAAATGCGATAGTTGGTATTTAATAGTAACTGATTACTTCTCCAGATTTTTTGAAATATTTAAATTGTACCAGTTAACCGAAAATACTATCATCTCCAAGCTTAAAGAATTATTTTCCAGATATGGAATACCTGAAATTGTAAGGTCTGACAACGGACCTCAGTTCCAGTCTCAATTCAACACCTTTGCGGCTGAAAATGATTTTAAACATGTTACTAGTAGCCCATATTTTTCTCAATCTAACGGCTGTGTCGAAGCCGCAGTAAAAATTGCTAAAAATTTACTAAAAAAGAATGAAGATATTTGTCAAGCATTATTGGCATATCGTACAACCCCATTAGAATGCGGTTTTAGTCCTTCAGAGCTATTAATGAACCGCAAACTCCGCTCTAATTTACCGATTTTGCCCAGTCAATTAAATAAGACAGTAAATACTAAACCTATTTTTAAAAGGGAGGATAAGAATAAGAAAAAATCTGCTTTTCTATATAATAAGAGACACAGGACTCGTAAGTTGTCAGACCTAAAAGTAGACGACAGTGTTTGGGTAATAGATCTAAGACAGTACGGTACAGTTACTGCAGTATTGCCTTACCCTCGCTCTTATTTAATTCAAACTGACACGGGGGTATATCGCAGAAACAGATGGCATATAATTCCAGCTCCCTATTATAATAGGTCAAAACTCCAAGCAAATATTACCCCAGCACTGTCCGAGCCTAAGGTTCATTATTATGATAAGGCCAGTGAGGAGGCTTCTGTCACAAATGAAAAGTCAGAGACTGATTGTAGTGTGCAAGACTCAGTGCCAGAAAGTGTCGCGAGTGAGGTAGTGCGCGAAGAAAGACGATCTCGCGATTCATTTGTACCATATTCACCCGCAGATTCTCTCGAACCTCTTGTACCCTCCTATAGACCTGCCAGAATTGTAAAACGTCCCTCCTATTTGAAAGACTATGTAAGTCTGTAATTACCACCTTTCAAAAGGGAGAGATGTTATGTTGGCTCTTGCCACTCTAGTGTACTGTCAGTTGTCAGCATGACAGCAAGGTCAGGGTCGTGGAACACGAGACGATATGTCAACTGTCACTCGAACCTGCCCGCCTTTTTATCGCTAATGAGTTACAACTTACCACGATGTCTAATGTACTGTATTACAACATTAAAGAGTTACTCAGAACTTGGGGTGCTTCTTTTCCCGTTACCAACATCTTATCAAACATTATAGTGTTATTTATCAAGCATTTTCGACTTTCTAAGCATGTTATAAGCGTTATAACACATCGTTAATTCCAAATGGATTTTCATAAATAAACTTCTTCCTTCTATGCTGTCACTCTTTAATAATGTTTTGATTTTCAACAGCCACCAAATGTTAATTTTATCAAAATTTGCCTCATCCATATTTACGGTCCATAAAGTCACATACGAATTTAAATTCGAGCACTTTAGACCACTCGTGTTGAATTCACCTGACATTTGTCGTATCCTGTTTTCGAGGATACACTTTTTTAAAATCACCTAGTTGCTATTCGACATTTCACTAATCTTGCATGCGAATCGAGGTATTCGACATTCGAGACTACTACCCCTAAGGTTTTCTAAAACCCCGGCGTCATAGGTTAAAAAGCACCCCTAAAAGATTATTATTTTTTTAGGAAGAAACGGCGATTTGTGCCACATTCTGACTAAGTGAGATTTAATAGGTACTTCACGACTACATTCACTGAAAATTTCAGTTTTCTAAAACCCCGGCGTCATAGGTTTAAATGCACCTCTAAATATGTATTATTTTTTTACGGGAAATTTATATGTTTTGTCATATTCTGGTTATTTGGGATTTAATCTGCTACTATTGAGGACTACTTTTTCTAAAAATAGCGGTATTCTAAAACCCCGGCGTCATAGGTTAAAAAACACCCCTAAAAGTTTATTATTATTTTATGAGGAAACGGCGATTTGTGCCACATTCTGACTAAGTGGGATAATCAGGTACTTCACGACTACATTCACTGAAAATTTCAGTTTTCTAAAACCCCGGCGTAATAGGTTTAAACGCACACCTAAATATGTATTTTTAACAACCATACGAATTTGGTATGCGACATTTGGCGTGTGCGACAATTTTCATGCGAGACTCGAGAATTCTACCCCTGGTACGCAATTTAAATATTCAGGTTTAAAGTCTGCCATTTTTCTTAAAGGTTTTTTGTATTTTAGATCTTTTCCTTTATTTCGATTTTTAAAACTAAATCTAGAGCAGCTTTCTTTCTTTGGAATAGGAAGGTCAATTAAATTATCTAAATCAAGAGTTGATAATTTGTCTGCGAGTAAATCAATTGACATTTAAAAAATAAAAAAAAAAAATAATTTGAAGTTACAATAAAAACACGAATTTGAGCATTATCCTTGTCTAACTATAAGGATGAAGTACCTATCCCTGGAATCTGCACTTTTTGCAAAGTTGAGCGATTGTGTCCCAACTTTTGACGCTTTTGTTGTGAACGGCTATACTGGTCCTCGATGGATGGGCTTCTCGATGTTTGAGGAACCACTCCAATATCAACACCTCCACACACGAATCGCGACAAATGTTCGATATCCAATCAATCGTTAAAACGAAAATTGACACGTTCGATACGCGACAACTTGGATATCCTACTGACTGCGCCACAAATATTTTCTGATCTCAAAATTCGTTTTTTAAAAAAATATTTTAAAATTTTACAAGTTTTATTTCATCTAACATAATACATCTAACTACCAAGAGATCTAATTAACAAGTAAATAATTCACATAAAAATGTTGTAAACCAGAATAATGAAATAAGATACGCGATAAGAGTTTCTAGGAAAAAAGTCGTTGACTCTTCAATTCACATGAGGACCGTTGACGTAATTCACTTTTAATTAAAGCATTCGTTGATTTAGTTATTCTGGCTGCATTTACCGCGTTAGTACCAATGATAGACATATCTACTTTTTGAATAGGCAGTTTTAATTTATTAGCCAATTCTGAAGTCATGAAAGAGGACTAACTGCCGCTATCCAATAATGCACGGGACCGAATTGGATTGTTTTTATGATCTAAAATGTCTACCATAGCAGTAGATAGAAATACATATGAATTAAGACAAATCATTACAGACGTCATGCTTAAAGAATGTGCTTGCTTTGAGCCAGAGGGTTCGTCAGAATTTTCGTAGTTAATATTTTGTGAAACCTCTGTCTCAGTGTTAGTTTGCTTAATTTTATCAACTTCTTTTAAATGTAATAAAAAATTATGACGTTTTTTGCAGATTTTACAAGGAAAACTTCTACAAGATGGCGCCATATGTCCCTTTCGGAGGCAGTTTATGCATGCTTTTATCTTTTTTATGCTTTGAATCCAATTTGACATTTGTAATTGTAAAAATTTTGTACAATAATAAATAACGTGATTAGCATTGCAAAATATACAAACTTTAGATACTTGCTCGATGACTCAGTAAACATTTCTATAGTAGGCGATTTTATTTTACTGGTCTTGGTTTCCCATTCCGTTTTTGTTATTTTATCTAGCTTATCAGTTAATAAAAATAAAAGTAAGGTATCCCATTTATCTACAGGTTCCCCTAGATTTTGTAGCGCTCTAATATTTTTTTCAACGTAACTAAGAAGTTTTTTAAGTTCTATAATCTCCTTAACCAAAGTAGTAGTGTCTAGGATTAACTGTAACTTGTTTTTTATTAAAGCTTTTGAATCCTCGTATCTTTCTTTAAGGAGATTCCAAGCAACAACCTCATAATTTCTGTTAGTTCTTTCTAAGTCCTCAATTAATTTTGCGGCCTGTCCTGACAGTGCAGATTGCAAATAAAAATATTTTTTAGAAGTTGCCAATGTATTATCGTCATGTATTAACGATTTAAACTTATCATAAAAAGAAGACCAACAATTTGAATCCCCTGAAAACGTTGGCAACGAAATTTTTGGCAATCTTACATTTTTAGACGGGTTGTGATGAACACTTATATTAGTTCTAACAGAATGATTAGACACGTTATTATCCTCTAACCTACTTAAAGCAACCTCTTGTATTAATGATTTTGTTTGGGCTAATAAAATAAAATAGAAATCCTCAAAAAGCTTACGTTCTTCACGATTTTCGTTTAAAGTGTCCTCGTCATCATCTGAAATTTCCTCCAATTTCGTTTTGAACACTAATAAATTCGTCATAAACTCCTAAAGTTATAATTTTTGTTTGATTCGTTTTTATTTCATCTAAAAATGTTGAAAATCTATCTAAACTATCCTTAACTAAGGATCTTCTTTTAATTAAAGCTTTAAACTTACCCTTAGGGTGCATTTTTATTTTAAAAAGAGTATTTCAAGCTAAAAACTCAAAAAAAATATCTAACACAAGCTAATTATTTTCTAACCGCGCGCCTATGGTCGTTGTAGACATGTCGGAGGCAAACAGTGAAATTAGGCATTCCCTGTAATTCCTAGTCAATTCAGGGAATGCCGGCAAACGCCGTAATCGTCAAATTTTTTCAGCGTTTCACTCTATTTTTGTCAATCCCTGTAATAGCTGGTCTATGTCAGTCAATTGCCGGAAAAACGAATATCAAGCTGTTACCTTATTTTCCTATCTCAGTCATTCCGTGTAATAACCGATTTAGGCAATCGGTGTTCTCACTCCATTTTTAATAGGTAAATAAAAAACTTTATCTAGAATAATTTTGTGTTTTTATCAATTATTTTTATTGCAAAAAGCGAACAAAGTAAATACAGAACAAAACAAAGAACAAACAATGAACAAAATGTATAAAAATAAGAGAAATAAGAAAAAAATATTATCTACTTATTGGCACAAGTTGCGTTTTTATGGCACCTTGAATTGCAAAGAACTTTTTTTTTAAACAGGCACATCTGTTTGATAAGCATTGTTTTTTTGCCGCTTTACACGAACACTTTAAGTATCCCTGACCTCCGGCTAGTGATAATGCTTGTATTGCTTCGCGCTTTGATAGAAACAGATTTGGTACATTATCATTATCATTGTGAAAAATTACTCTTTTGTACTTATTAGGTCTGGTCGGTTAAACTAAGATTTAATGCGACCAGCTGAGCATATTACTTGATATACACCATTTTTGTAATCAGTAATTACACATATTAAGTTTTGCAGATTGGAAGGGCCTCTATCAATTTTTTCAATGGGTAAAAGGACACACGATCCAATATCTAAACGAGTTAGCTTTTTAGCAGTATTTGTCAGCATTTTTTCTGCCGCCATTTTTTGGCCCTGACTAGCACTACTTCTGTTTTCTAAAATTGTCATTTCATTCCGACATAACTGACATTTGCCTCCGTCTTCTGGGCACATCAAACAAATGTCTAAAGTGTCCGAGTTGTTAGATTTTCCTGATGCCATTGGTACTTCTAAAAGGGACTCTAAATCAATATCTTGGCAAACATCATTAGAATAACTGCTAGCCATATTTTCAGATTCATGTTTCCCGGAGACTTCTTGTAAGGTGTTTTCTAGTTTTGCATTTTCATCGATCTTTACGTTTTCAATTACTTTGTCGTATTTGAACAATCTCTTTTTCCTCCTGCGTCATTTCCAGTAGACTCCACAAATCATCTTCATTTTCAATCAGCTCTAATATATCTTTTTGGATATGCTGAGTGAAAAAACTTACTTTTGGGTCAACTCCAAATAAAGCCTTGTATGGTGTGCACTAAATGACTTTATGAAAAGAACTATTCTTTTGGAACTGAACAAAATAACATCCGAGTGACCATGTTGTAGAATTTGTTATATCGGAACACCCTCCTCATATTGATAGATGTCATATTTACGCCAATTGTCGTATGTCATGTAATGGAGTCTTGAAGTAACTTGTGAAATCAATCCTACAATAAAAGTATTAATAAAGTTATTGTGTTTATTGTACTAGTAAGTTATAGTCAATAATAAATATATAACATAATTTGGCGACCAGCTCTGGTGATGCAAGCCTCATGCGCGTAGTAGAAATAGTTTGTGATTGTCCTGTATCATAGCCACGTGTTAAGAGGGTCAAGAAAACAGTTCAGTCTGTCCAGTCGAGTCTTAAGTCCAGTCTGTAGTCTGTATAGTCCAGGTCAGTTTTCAGTCAAACGATGGCATTAATAGACAATATTGAACCATTTAACAATAAAGAAAGTGACATTACCTCATATTTGGAAAGGTTAGAACAACTTTTTAATTGCAATGAGGTAGAAGAAGGAAAAAAGGTGAGCATGTTACTTACACTTATTGGGGGTGAATCGTATGAAGTCCTTAAAAACTTATTGGCACCAACTTTGCCTAGTCAAAAAACTTATGTCGAGTTAACAGAAGAGTTAAAAAAGCATTACAGCCCTAAAAGACTGACAATAGCGGAAAGATACAAGTTTCACACAGCTTATCAAGGTGATCATGAAGATATTAAGAGTGTTGTTGCTCCTCTCAAGAGTTTAGCAAAATTTTGTGATTTTGGCACATTTCTGAATGACTCGCTTAGAGATAGACTAGTGTGCGGATTAAAGTCGGAAGGTATGAAAAGAAGATTACTAACGGAAGATGGTCTCACGTTTGAAAAATCTTACACCATTGCTACTGGAATGGAGTTGGCAGAAGGGCAAATCAAGGTCATGGGTGTCGAGTCAAGTCAAGTAAATAAGGTGTCACAAAGTTTCAAAAAGAAGTATAAGTCAATATACCAATAGTAAGTCAACTTATAAGTCTACCTACCATCCAAACCAAAAATGTAAAAGATGCTGTCGCATACATTTAGATAACAGTAAATGTCCAGCTGTGTCATGGAAATGTTTTTCTTGTGGGCACATAGGTCACACTGCTAAGTCTGCAATGTGTACCTCAAGGGTGCATGACCTACAAGAAGAAGAGGCAGAAGAATTTCAAGAAAATGTCGAGTATTCAGATGAAAATTTTGAATTAGGTTTGTTAGCCGAGGTTATTGGTGAGTGTTTTATAAAGTCTTTAAAAAATAACTTCAGTGATATTTTAAAAGTAAGAGTAATGTTAGATAATCAGTTTGTAAACATGGAAGTAGACTCAGGAGCAGTTTGTTCAGTAATGCATGAAAATGATTTTGTGAAATTATTTCCAAATCTTGTGTTAGAACCTGTAAATTTTAAATTGCGTGTCCTTACAGGCCAAAGAGCAGAAATTTTAGGACAAGTTTTTATAAATGTCACGTATGTAAATAACATGTATTTTTTACCATTAGTAATTTTAAGATCTGAGTTGTTGCCATTTATTCCTCTGTTAGGTCGAAACTGGCTAAACGTTTTAAATTGTAACTGGAGAAATAATGTACTGGATGAGAGTATTATAGAAAGTAATCAAGTCATAAATGTTCTTGCAAACGATGTAAAAGTTAAGTCATATTCTGAGGAAATAAAGCTCTCTAGTATTTGTCAAACTGAATCTAAGAATGTCAGACAAAAATTCATTACTGATGTAAAAAGTCATTTTTCAAAATTGTTCTTAGATGAGCCAAATTCTTATATTAGAGAATTTAAAGCAGAGATTAAAATTAAGCATGATTTTAAGCCAATTTTTCATAGAGCATATGAAATACCATATGCTTTAAAACCTAAAGTCGAACAAGAATTGTATAATATGGTCAAGTCTGGTGTTTTAACAAAAGTTACCCATAGTAATTGGGCCAGTCCTTTAGTTTGTGTACCAAAAAAAGATGCTAATGAAATCAGGTTATGTATGGATTTCAAAAAAACACTGAATAAAGCAATTGATGGGGATCATTGTGTTTTACCTCTACCCAATTATATTTTTGCAACGCTTTCAGGTAGTAAGTATTTTTCGGTTTTAGATTTAAAAAATGCTTATCAACAATTACAAATAAGTGATTCCTCAAAAGAATATTTTACAGTTAATACGCATATTGGGTTGTTTAGATTTAATAGGTTAACGTACGGAGTAAGTTCTGCACCCGGAATTTTTCAAAGTATTATGGAAGCAATTTTGTCAGGATTGAAAAAAACTAAATGCTATCTAGATGATATTATAATTCATGGGTCTACTATAGAAGAATGTAATGAAAACTTAAGAAATGTTTTAAAAACATTATTGAAATTTAATGTCAAAATTAACTTAAGGAAATGCAAGTTTTTTGAAAATTCAGTTGAGTTTTTAGGCCATATAATTGATGCAGATGGAATTCATCCAACCAATGAAAAAATTGAATGTATTCAAAAAGCCCCGTCACCCCAAAATTTAACACAACTAAAGTCATACTTGGGATTAATGAATTATTATGGAAAGTTCATCCACATGTTATCGGCAGAACTTAAACCTTTATATAATTTATGTAAAAACGATACAGATTTTATATGGTCAGATGATTGTGAAAGGGTTTTTCAAAATAGTAAAAAGTTACTAACTTCAGGAAACGTTTTGTGTCATTATGATCCGTTAAAACCTATTTTTATTACGTGTGATTCAAGTGGGTATGGAGTGGGTGCCGTGTTAAGCCATAAAGTTAATGGAGAAGACAAACCAGTTTTATTTGCATCAAGTACTTTAAGTGACACTGAAAAAAAATATTCAAATTTGGAAAGAGAAAGTTTGGCTATTATTTTCGGATTAAAAAAATTTCATAAATATGTATATGGTCGAAAGTTCACGATAATAACCGATCATGAACCATTAATGTTTATTTTTGGCAAAAATAAAGGTATTCCGGTAACTGCTGCTGCTCGTATTACCCGTTGGGCAATAACCTTATCAGGTTATAATTATGATATTTTATACAAAAAAGGGAGTCATATTTCAAATGCAGATGGGTTATCGCGTTTGCCAATGCAAAATAATACAGATATAGGTGAGTTCATATTTTCATTTAGTTTATGTCAGGAAGTACCTTTAAATTCGCAGGATATTGCACTTGCTACAAAAAAAGATATAATTTTGTCTAAGATTTTAGATTTTACATTGTCAGGGTTTCCAAGTAATATAGAAGATGACAATGTTAAACCTTACTTTAAAAGGAAGTTAGAATTATCAGTAGATAATGGGTGTTTATTAGTAGGAAATAAAGTAATTATCCCAAAAGTCCTTCAAAATGATGTTCTCAATCTTTTTCATGAACAACATATAGGTATCACAAGAACAAAAATGCTTATGAGATCTTATTGTTGGTGGCCAAACATGAATGAATCTATTGAAAAATTTATTAGTAGTTGCAATGTTTGTCAAGAAACCCAAAACTTTTCAAACAATAATGTTTTACTTCCTTGGTGCACCTAACAATTTTTATAGGGTAAATATAGATTTCTTTCATAAAAATA